GGATCACCCCTCAAACCACCTCCCGGGGTGGGGGGGGGGCAGAGCCAGAGGCAGCCCTGTTGAACAGGAACCTCACATTTTGCACGTTGCAGGCGCTGCCGTTTGGGACAGGCAGCAAACGACCCCCCCCAGGGAGCATTTCCCAACAGACAGCAACATCAACAGAAAAAGGAGGATGGGTGGGAAGGGGCTTCTCCGAAGAACAAACCGACACAAAAAGGGCACATACAATAAATTTACACACACACACACACAAAAAAAAAATATATATATGTGGGGAAAAGTGCGTTTTTAAGAATATCTTTGGCAAGAATATATGCAGTTCTTTGTGCAGGAAGGAGGGATGTGTTTGTGTGTGTGTTTGTGTGAGAGAGAGAGATACCATCCGGCTGCTGACAACGGCAGTGTGATTACAACGAAACATAAGCTGGGCTTAACTCGCGCAAGCTCGAATCTCAAATACCATGACTGCATTTAAAAACCAAAGAAAAAAACCAAAGAGTCTTTTCTGTCCCTTTCGTAAGAAAAAAATATCAACACTAGGTCTCTTCCAGCCCCAGGAGCTGGGTGATCCTCAACGTCGGCTGACGATCTCTCCCAGGGACAGAAAGGGTAGTTACACCTAAAAATGTAACTTAAAAAAGGAGATAAAAGGAAAAAAAAAGTGCCTTTAAAGGGAGTTGACAAACACCCGGCTACATCATTGGAAGGTGATTAGCTCTGTGTTAAAAAAAATAATATAATCATCGGACGATTTTGTTAGTGTTCAAGATTTGGATACGGTCTAAATCTTCAGCTAGTGGGTTAGTGGGGAGGCTGTGAGCAGCTCAGGGCCCAAAGCAGGCGTGATGCTATCGGCAGGTATCTGCTGGGATCGGCTTCTACGTGACATCTCTGGGGTGCTTAGATCTGCTTCATTTGTACGGGGAGAAAAAGAGGAATGGGCGTTTCAAGCACCGGTTTCCGAGGCAGCAGATTAAAATAAAATTACATTATTATAATCTCTTTTCTTAGCAGTGAGAAAACCAAGTCTGAAAAATAGACACTTTCAAAAATATATCTTTATATATCTATAAACACAGTGTTTTCTCTAATCGGTGAATGGCAGGGTGAGGACATTACGGGTGAGATCGTCTCTCGTCTCGCTTGAATTTCGCAGAAGGAGGGAATCGCTTTTTGGAAACATCAAAAATGAAAAGGTCTCCGCATCCATGCGGCCAGGGAGCCAGGGAGGGGGAAAGCCCCCCCGGGGCCCCCCCCCCCCGCCACTGTCTCGCAACCAACTCCTCGCTACGCATCCTTTCACTCTCACTTCAGTACATCAGTACAGCCTCCGGCCGTGCCAGCCCCCTCCGGGTGCCCACGCTGCTCGCTCCCCCACGCACACACACACACACACAGGCACACCGGTCACACGCACGCCGCCCCAACACAGGGGGACCCCCATGCCTCTTCCCCCATCCGTATTTTTCCTGGAAAGCAATATGGCAAAAATAAATATTTTAAGAGTGTAAATTTAACCTTTTTTTCCTCCTTAAAATTTCGTTAGCTTACAGTATTTCGTCAGTATAGCTCGTATATATATTATAGCTATCACGGCAAAGGCGGTCCAAGGGAGGCGAGCTTTCGGGGGGGGCTACAGTGCTACATTTCTAATTTTTGCCCCCAATAAACTATCTGGGCCACTTAGCACTGAAAACTTCTCCCAAAAGGCTCTCAGGGGGATATTTGCAGCAGAGGGCTCAGCAATGACTGTTCCCCCCACCCCAAACCTGCACGCATGACCGAAGCATCCTCTGCCCCCCCCAGCACAACGGGGCTGAGACCTCCACCTGCTGCCCTCCAACCACAATCCCCCCCC